GACTGGACTTGGGTCACGGGGGATCTTGTGAAAATGCGGGTTCGGAGCCGCGGTCCGGGTGGCACCCGGGATTCTGCTTTCTAAGGAGCTCTCAGGCGGGGTTCCCCACTGCTGCTGGTTTGGGGACCCCGCTCTGGGTGGCTGAGCATCGTGTCCCACATCTTTATTTCTAAAACGAGCCATTCCACCCTCCTCACAGCGCGGTGGGAATGGAGAGATCCTGTTTATTACGTGAAAACCACACCCTCCCCCTCCCCCTGCGGGGACACAGACACTGGGGGGACCTCGCAGGTTCCATCTTTGGAATGTGTGATTCGAAGGTTTGCCTCAGGAGAACGACATGTCCCCCAGGCCAAGGCCCCTTACACTTGCTCTCTGAGAGCTGTGAGTCCCTTCCTGCGCTTCTGTGGTTGTATCAGGGCCCTCTGGTCAGCAGCCACGGGCAGGTCCCCGGAGCTCAGGCCACGTGGAGCCTGGGAAAGGGGTGTGAAGCCGGCAAATCTATCACAGCCATAACCCCGATGTCGTGTTTGTCCGAGAAGGATAAGAAGTGTCCAGGTTTGTGCCATCCCAAGCACCCGCCGGGCAGAGAAGGGCAGGAGGAGGCAGGCATGCCATGTGAGCCTCTGCAGAGGGAGGCGCGGCCTCGCTCGGTGCATGTCCAGCCAGACTGGATGCCGGGCCCACACGTAGGTGCCCCTTCAGAGGACTTGTCTCTGCAGGCAGAGGGACAGTGCCCCAAAGATTAAGGTGACTAGACGTCCCGCTTTTGGCGGGACAGTCCTGATTTTTAACAATTTGTCCTGCGTCAGAAAAGAATTTTTCCAAACATTGGGACGCGGGACAAATTGTTAAAAATCGGGATGCCCCTCAGCCTCCGGCCCTGCCATCAGGCTTCTCTCAGGAGGCTGAGCCCGACCAGTGCCACGCGCCTGAACCCTCACGGACCATGATCTGTGCTGCCCGCGTGGAACCCGCTAGCACATGTGGCTGATGAGTCCTTGCTGTGTGGCGAGGGCCTGCGAGGAGGTGGCTTTTTAATTTGATTTAATTTAAACTCAGCCACGAAGAGTAGTGGCTGTCACAGTGGATAGGTCTGGTCTGGTCTAACCGCCTGTTCTGCCCAGGGCACCTCTGTGCCCCAGTATGCCCGCACCAGGTGCCTGGGGGGCTCAGATAGGAAGGCTAGGGTGTAAGAAGAGAGGTGAGGAGGGAGACGGTGGCCATTGAGTAGGACTTCGTCATGAGCCCACAGCTTACCCAGTTCCAGGCTCTGTTCCGCCAGAGCTGGGCACCTCGAGATCCATGGTGTTTCCGGCTGCCCAGCTCTCGGGGTGACCTCAGACAAGGCCGAGCCCTGAGCCTAGAGCTGCCCCAGGTGACAGCTTCTGGCTCAGAAACCCAGCCCAGGCCCTGCCTTCTGAACACGTGTTCTCTTCGAGCCCCACCCCCCGTCGCTGGTCCCAGTGTGAGTGCTCATGTGTGTGTGCATGTCCATGCACAGACGTGTACACATATGGGTGTGTGTTTCCCTGTCCTGAGCTGACCCTGTCTTGGCCCTCGGCTTCCTCATTCTCCATGTCACTGCCCGGTCCCGTGTCCACCCCCTCGGCTCCTCTGCCCTCCCACCCCTCCCCGTGGACTCTGTGGCTCTCAGTCCCACCTCGGTTTCTCCATTGCCCGGTGCCCCGGCTGACACCAGTGCTGATCTTGTCACACCAGCAGCTGCGTGCAGAAATGCTACTGCAGGCCAGAGCGGGCTCAGCAGCACTCTTGCAAGATGTCAGAACTGTCCGCCATTACTCTGTAAGTGTGCGTGGCTGTGGCCCATGTCCTGGAGGGGAGGGGGGCGCATGCCGCCACCGCCAGGAGCCCGCGTGCTGCCGCTGCGCTGGGGAGGGCAGCGCGCAGTGCCCCCAGCCCTGAGCCCCACTGGCTGCTGCATGTTGACCTCTGTGTGTCTTGTGAGTTCTCTGCACTCTTGGAGGGGAGGGTGCGGCACGGGAAGGGAGGCCGTGGGGATGGAGCCACTGGGGCTTGGCTGCTGCCTTGATGTGTGGTCTTTCCCAAATGTCTTACTTCTCTCGGTTGAGTCTTCGGAATGGCTCATTTATTTCTGCTGGTCTTAGAGCTTGAGTTCATAGGGCTTGGTTCCCCCACCCAGAACAGGGACCCTCACCGCAGCAAACCTCACTCACATAACCGTGCCCGGTCTGTGTTCACTCTCTGAGTTCCCACCACACCCTTAGGAGGTGGGTACTTGTGTATCCTCATTGTACAGATGTGAAAACTGAGGCATAGATGCCGTGAAGTGACTCACTCCAGGTCCCATAATTGGCAGGGAGAGGACTTGAACCCAGGGAGTCCTGCCACTTGGCCCTCGGGTGTCTCTGGCCAGAGCAGCCGCCTCCTTGGTCATCCTTTTAAGTGGGGATGAGCATCTGTGACTGGGGGAAGCTGTTCTTGGTATTTTTCTGCTATGGGTGCCTCCTTAGGGGCAGGGGACAGATGCCAAGGGCCTATGTCACTATCTGTGGGTTAATCGGATCCCAAGGTGATTCTGTGACTGTCCTCAGAGGGGCGTCCCGAGGAAGGCTCACACCCTATGTTCCATTCCAAGGCCTTTATCTGGCCAGCTGGGAAGGGCAGAGGCCCCGGAACTCTGGGCCCCAGGAATCTTCCCACCTGCCTCCACTTCCCCATCTGCCAGAGGGTCCCTGGCATGCGCTTGGTCCCCAGCAGAGTCCCCGCCTGTTGGGGCAGCCTCGGGGCTGCCAGAGGGAAGTGCCATCCCTGGCTGTGCAGCGGGCACCCCGATACCAGTCACCACACCGGCCAGGGGCTGGGCCGGGCCGGAGCCCATTCCTGAAAGGTCACTGTGTCTCACACACTGACCCTGGCCATCCACCTTGACCACAAAGGCTGGAGGGGGTGGCCCTCTGGTGTCCAGGGCACTTTCAAACTGCAGGGAACGGACCCATTGATGGGAGCAGAGCTGTAGGAGGGAGACAGGGACCACAGGCACATCCCAGGGCGCCTTCCCTCCTGAGGTCCCCCCCACCCCTATTACACTGCTCTTGTAAAGTAGCCCCTTTAGGGAGCATCACTGAGGGGCCCCAACATGAACACATGTCTCCAGGCCACTGTCCTCTATTTTTTTTTAAAATTTTCATTCACTTTTTATTTTAAGTATCTTTTTTATTGATTTCAAAGAGGAAGGGAGAGGGAGAGATAGGCACATTAGTGATGAGAAAGAGTTAGTGATCAGCTGCCTCCTGCACACCCCATTCCCCCTCCCCCCTCAGGATCAAGCCTGCAACCTGAGCCTGTGCCCCGACTGGCTCATAGGTGGATGCTCACCCACGGAGCCATGCCAGCGGGGTGTAAACTTTCATTCTTCAGCTGACACTCCCTGCTGCCTTCGGTGCCAGGCTCCGAGTGCCCAGGTCGCCATCAGTGTGCGGACTGAGCTTCAGACCGGCTGTGCGGCCATCTGTCCTTCCATGGACAGGCCCCGGGGGTGGGCGCTGTGCCGGCACGTGCTGCCCCGAGGCCAGTGGGGATAGGGAGGTGCCAGCTGCCTTCAGGAGCCGAAGCCTGAGAGGGAGAGAGTGGACGATGGAGGGGCAGACCCTGTGACCCCATGCCTGGGCCCAGAGTGGGCACCTGCCCAGGTCCTGCTGGAACCAGCTCTGGTCTGAGGACGCCAGGTCTTGCAGAATGGGCCGCTCGCAGGGGGAGAGGGGAGAGTGCCCAGCCCTCGAGGGGCTTCGTCCTTCCAGGGATGAGCCTGGTCTAGGGAGGTCCCCCCAGGTTACCTTCCCTTTTCTCCATCTCTCCTTCCTCCCTCCCCCTTCTCTTTCTTCCCTCCCTTCCTTCCTCCCTTCCCACGGGGAAGCCAAGGGCTTCGCTCTGACTCCAGGGATTTGCTTCTGAGATCCAGAGCCCAGGCTCCACAGAACATTCTGCCCCAGAAAATCTGGGATGGGGAAGAGGGAGGGACACACGGTGTCACGGCCCCAAATCCCATGGCAGCCCCCCAGCCCAGCTGCCGCCCCCCCCACCCCCCCTGTGTGCACCCAGGGCTGCAGGGAGACTCGGAGGCTGAGCCTCCTGCTCGCCCCCTGACCCAGCCAGTGTGCTGGTGTGGGTGGAGAGGGGTCCCATGCTCGGAGACCCTCTGGGAGCCCCCTTTTCAGAGCAGGGCCCACAGGATACCACTGTGCACGCTCTTGATGTCTCACATGGCTTCTGGGCCCCACCCACCACCCCTCAGAACAGAGCCCCTCCCTCCGGGCCAGGAGCCAGGGGCAGGCAGGGAACGCAGAATGGCTCCGCCCCCACACAGACAGCTTTCTCTCCCTTTGACTCAGTTTGCTGGGTGTCAGGTTTCCCCAGCTTGAGTGGGAATTGTTCATGCCCAGGGTCAGTAGGTCCTTCCTAGGACCCCGCCCAAGTCTCTCCTTCTGTGGCCCCTTCCTCCCACCCCCCCACCCCCTCCCTGCCCTCAGCATCTTTCCCCTCTCCCCCCAACCCCCACCTCCTCCCTGCCCTCAGCACCTCCCCGTCACTCCATGACCAGCCCTGGACCCTTCCAGCACGGGGGCTCCCTTGGCAGCAGGAGAACGCCGGCTTTGCCGAGGGCTCATCACGCCGTCACGCCAGCCTTCCAAACCCCACCCTTGTGTTTGCCTGACTTTGCTTCCCCCATGGGGGCGTCTGTAAATCACATGCTCACGCGTGCACGATTCCTGGGTCTGCAGGATGTGGCCTGAGGGACAGGAGCTCTGCAGTCTGGGGGTTGTCCCCTGTGACTGCCCAGGGAGCTCTGGGTGTGGGCTGTCAGCCACCTCCCCTCCTAGGCCCTGCGTGCTTGGGGAGGACCCTGGGGGGGGGGGTCCGGGGAGAAAAGAGGGTGGGCACCGGGGTTCTCTGCCCTCCATGTCTCTGGCCCCAGCTCTGGTGGCCCCCAGAGCGGATGTCCTCCTCTCTCCCCACAGGCGGCTGGCGCGGTCCACCCTGCTGCTCATCCCGCTGTTCGGGATCCACTACACGATCTTCGCCTTCTCCCCCGAGTACGTCAGCAAGAGGGAGAGGCTGGTGTTTGAGCTGGGCCTGGGCTCCTTCCAGGTATGTGCAGGGGAGAGGGCTCATGGGGAGCCAGGGCCCTGGCCTTAACCGGCTGGTGGTTCTAGACGCTTCTTTAGCCTGAGCCGAGCTTCCTGATTCCATCTCTGCTGTCAGAGCACCAGCCCAGCCGGGGCAGGGAGAGCCGGTGCTGCTGCCTGCTCGCTGGCTTCTGTGAGAAGGGTCTTCCCGCCCCTGTGGCCAGCAGGCGTGAGCCAGGCCTCTCTCGGGAGACCTAAGTCTGTGGACCGAGCACCCCGTGAGCGCTGGGGTTCTGTGTGGCCCAAGTCAGGGCCCTCGGACAGGACCTGCCCGCAGAGCGCCTCGGGCAGAACTGGTGGCAGAGCACGCGCCCCACGGGAGAAAGTGGTGGACTGGGTGTCAGGTGGAGGAGTAAGAAGGTGGGTGTGAACACATGAGTGATGGAGAGGTGGTGCGACCGTGTGGGGCGAACAGGTGGCAGCACGCCTGGGCCCTGCAGGCAGGGCTGGCTCCCGGAGTGCCCCCCATGACAGCCGAGAATCTGTCCTGAGCCCACCCACGTGTTTAGACGTGCATTTGACTTTGAGGGTCTGAAAGGTCCTCTGGGTGTCTGCCTGAGTCTCTCCCTCCCCCCGTTTTAATTCTTATGCTGATGAAACGACCAGTGACAAAGACCACGCCTTAGCTTAGGAGTCAGGCCGGTCCCATCCAGGCACAAGAAGTCCGAAGGCAGAGAATTCCGTAAAGAACGTGGCAGGGCGCTGGCGCTCACGGGTCTCTGGGTTGTGTGCGCAGAGCGTGAGGCCTGGGGAGGGGTGCGTACAACACGGGGCCGGGCTGTCCTGCTGGGCCTGCCCTTGGCGGGCCTGCAGGCTGGCTGGGGAGCCCAGAGAACATTCTGGGGCCTGCAGGGGAGGCCTCGTGGAGGAAGAGGGTGGAGCTGGCCTTGGGGAAAGGGAAGGACTTGACCAGGTGAGAGCTTGGAAGCCAGGTGTGTCCGTGGGAGGGGCTCCCTCCTCAGCCATGGGGCTCCGTGGCCGTGGCCATCTTGGTGGAGCAGAACTGACCTCATCCCAGGTTCCCAGGCAGCAGGCAGGTGCCCCATCCGAGGGATGGAGTAATTCTGCTCCCTGCTCACTCCTGCCACCTCTCACGTGCAGAGGTCCCGGTGGGCGTGCTCAGCTGTCCTTGCTCTCTCTCCCCAGGGCTTCGTGGTGGCTGTCCTCTACTGCTTCCTGAACGGGGAGGTAAGATCCCACCCCCTGGCTTCTCCACGGTGGAGGGGGGCTCTCTGGGGAGCAGATAGGGTGCCCCCTGTACAGCCAGGCCCAGCCGCCTGGGAGGCTCTCAGGCTGAGCCTTGGTAAAGAAGGACTGAAAAAGTGAGGGAGGGTGAGGCAGAGGAGCGGTCCTGTCGCTCAGGAGGCTGAGGTGGGCAGGGGTGCTGAGCGGGGAGCTGCCCAGAGTTCAGCCCAAGCCCACCCCTCTAGAGAGGGGCCTGTGGGGTCCTGGCAGAGACCACAGGGAGAGGCCCGGCACCTTCTAGTGATGCTCACGTCCAGTGCTCTGCTCCGGGGTCCCCAGATCTGGCCTGTGAGGGTGACGCTTTGAGCGGAGCCCAGATCAGAGGTGCTGAGGTGGGGCTGGACGGGCGGGTGGGGCTGGGTGTGGGCGGGACTCCCAGCACCAGGCTTGGGTCCTGGCTGGGAGACTCGGCGAACCTCCCCACCCTGCATGTGGGAAAGAAGATTTGGTTCCGTGGTCGCCGACGCCCTACAGCAAGGCCGGACCAGGCCAAACCAGGAGAGGCAGCGGGGAGATGGGAGTGCACCACTTGCCCGGGGCTGCTGTGGACGGGAGCTGGGCTGGAGGGGTGCCAGTACCGTTTCCCATTGTGCAGTCTGTGCACCCCACCAAGGTTCTGTATTGGAGGCGCACAAAGGCAGAAATGGGGCATGCCCCCCCAAATGCCACGCTAAGAGCGGGGGGGGGGGGGCGGGTGTTCGCCCAGGGGGTGCAGTATTGTGGTCCTCAGCCCGGACTGCATCTCACTCCAGAGATGTCCATGTGCTCGTTGTGGGCAGGAGGGGGCGGGGGTCCTAGCGTCTGGGTTTTTAAAGCGCTCCACACGGGTCTAAGGTGCAGCCCATGGTGATGGTCAGCAAGAGGGCGCCTGGCCCGATCTGTCCACCCAGGGCCAGTGCCATAAAGCTTCCCGAAGGCCCCCAGCGGCTGGCCACTGGCCGTGGACACGAGAGGCCACGGATCCCAGGAAGCCACTCGTGGGCCTGGCTCCCCAGTGACGTGGGCTTGGGGCTCGGTCAGATCCTCACAGGCCTTTCTTTCTCACGGGGGCCCGGGGCTGCCGGCTGCAGTGTGGGAGCGGGCGGGCGCGGCGGGAGGTGGCTGTGCCCGTCTGGACGGGCCCTAGGGCAGGGGGACGAGGGCGGAGAGGACGTCGCCGGCGGTGACCGCCCCGTCGCCCCCTGCAGGTGCAGGCGGAGATCAAGCGGAAGTGGCGGAGCTGGAAGGTGAACCGCTACTTCGCCGTGGACTTCAAGCACCGGCACCCGTCCCTGGCCAGCAGCGGCGTGAACGGCGGCACCCAGCTCTCCATCCTGAGCAAGAGCAGCTCCCAGATCCGCATGTCCGGCCTCCCGGCCGACAACCTGGCCACCTGAGCCCCCGCCCCCGCCGCCCCCTCCTCCACGCCAGGCCGGGCGCCGCGGGCGCCGGCCACGCATGTCGCCTCTTTTCTCCCTTCGGGCAGGCCCCGGGCCAGACGCCGGGCTCCCCGAGGGGGGAGGAGGATGCAGGTGCAGAGGGTATTTCGCCCCCCTTCTGATTTTGGCGCTGGCCCCACCCACCACGGACCCCTGGGCCCTGCCCCCAGACGTGTAAATACTCCCCTGACGTGGGAAAGTTGTACCATCCCGGCCCCTTCGTCCAGTGCCCCTGCCCATTCAGAGGGTCCTAGTTTCACCGCCCCTGTACTCCCCCCCCCCCAAGCCTCAGCGATCGCCTGGCCTGGTCCTGAGGCCGAGAGCCTTGATTTGGGGGTTCCGGGGGCCCCACCCGACAACCTCTCAGAGTGTCTGACTCTCCACGTGGATCCTTGGAGTCGGGGCCCTTCTCAGGCCTGCCCGTCGCCGAGGCCAACCAGGGTCCCCCATGGATGCCAGTGCGGCCTCCAGCGGGTGTGAGGTCCCTCCTGCTCGCCTGTCTCCAGGGCCGGGTGCCCGGCTCCTGGGCATCGGGCGGCGGGACCGCTCCGGGGCCCTTCATTCCCCGGAAGGGGCGAAAGGTCAGGGAATGTTCTGGTGCTTCTCATTGGGCCCGTGGAAATGTACGTCTGATGGGAGGGAGCCGGCCGGGGGGCGGGGGGAGGGGAGGACCCAGGCGAGGCCTTCACCATCTCCATGATTTGCCCCAACTCACGCGGGCAGGGTTCGCCCAGCAGCCTCTCCTCTGCCCCTCCTGCCCGGGCATCCGCTGTGGAAGGAGAGATGATGCCTGGCAATAACTGCTCCCCAGACACCTCCACCTCACAGAACCCCAAGTCCTCCCAGCTCCCCTCCCCCTCAGTCAAAGCCATGGCTAGGATGAAGCCCCTTAGCCCTCAGTGGGCCCAATTTGAGGCCCAGGAACGCCCCACCCCCAGCTCACCTACCCTCACCGCCACCCCGAGGAGCCCCAGCCGCTAGCTCCTGGGGCGGGGCCTCAGCTAGGAAGTCTGAGACCGGGGCATAGACCCCCCTGTGCGCTTACCCTCGGGTCCCAGGAAGGACACCGAGGTGTCCTCGATGTTGAAGGGAAGCCCCCCCTCCCAATGTGTCTAGCAGAAGCTGCAGGTGGAAGGAGTTGGTACCCCAGTGCCAGCCCTGGCCCCCCACAGGGTGAGGGGGAAGTGGGCCAGGTTCGGGGTGGGGGCGGAGGACCATGCACGCCCCGAGTGAGGGGACACCCGTGTGGGGCTGGCAGTGTGTCGGGTCCGCTCTGGGGACCCCGCCTGCGTGTGTGGACGGGCTTCATGGCCGCGGTCTGGGATGCTTGCGGAGCTTGGGCAGATGGTGAGGTGGCTTTGTCTGGTTTGAGGAAGAGGAAGGGGCCTGGGCTTGTCACCGGAGAGGCCATCGGAGCGACCGGTGAGGGCTGAGCTGCTTGGGCTGGAGAACGGGAGGGAGGCCCTGGGCCTTGAGCAAAGTCAGAGGGCGGAGGAGCCACCTGCACTTCCTGGGCACATGGGCGACACAGGCTGGCCGTGGGGTGTGCCGCAGTCCGGGGTGTCCACTGGCTACCGTGAGGGGCCTGAGCTGCTTGGAAGGGGCCTCAGGCTGGGGCTCAGAGACATGGGGCCTGCCCCTGTCAGGCTCAGATCACTGGGCTGGTGGATAGCGCTCCCTGCCCGGGCCTCCGTTTCCCCATTTGGGAGACCAGGGGACTCGTGCGTCTCTGGGCTCTGTACCTCCGTGACTCCCCAGTTCCAGGGGGAGCGGTAGAAGGGTGCGCGTCACTGTGGTGCGCCACCCAGGCTTGGTGTGCAAGTTGACACAGGTGTGGGTGGCGCTGTTCATTCTTAGCAATGGGACTGCTGCCTCTGCCACGGGGACACCATAGCGGGAGCTGACGGGCTGGAGGGACCGGTTAGGCCAGGGTCAATGATGTGCAGACCCAGCCCTGACCCTGGCTGGGATAGCGGTCACTTCCTGATCGTGGGAGGGTCCCCCAGCATTGGCCTTGTTCCTCACCCTGCCCTATCAGCGGGTCTGTGTCACTGTGACAGAGGGGCTGTGACTCTCCATAGACCACAGACAAAGCCGGCCCCTAATCCCCCGTCTGCCGTCTGAGCCCTGGGCCTGGGTCCCTGTGGGCCCCAGGTTCCCGCCAGTTTGTCACTCTGTTTTTTTCCTCTCTGAGCCAACGATTGCCTGTCTTGTGAGCCGAGGTCCCTGTGCCATTGGGATGGATGTCCAGGAGGTTAGGAGCTGGCCTTCAGGGTCCTGGGCAGTGGAGGGGCGAGAGCATGAAGTCCAGGGAAAGCCTCGCCCTTCGGTCCTTTGTTTTCAAATCTGTAAAATGGACAGTAAGACTCGATTTGTCCCGTCCAATGCACCCCTGGATGCTCTGCCTAAACACCAGTCATCTGCGGGGAATGGGCCCAGGGCAAGGATTTCAGTATTTGCCTGGAGCGGACAGGATAAGAAGCCACGTTGAGGACGGGGCGGGGGAGGAGCAGGAGCAGAGTTCCCGACTCCGTGCTCCAACAAGGTCATCACTGGGAAGGGGGCGATTCCTGCTCTGTGCACCCTGCAGGACAGAGCTCACCAGGGGAGGCCGAGGGCTGAGTCCTCCCAGGGACGAGGGAAGGCCCAGTCCTGGGGGCAGCAGGACTCAGACAGGGTTGCTGAGGCTGTCAGGGAGCCTGTGAGGGGTCAGAGGGTGAGATTTGGGGGTTCAGAGGCTCTGGGGGTCTCTAGGACTGAGAGCTTTGGTGACCACATGCATGTGGGAATGGTTGCTGAGGGGTCAGAGGCTCTGGGGGTCTCTAGGACTGAGAGCTTCGTGACTGTCCCTAGGCCCGAGGCCAGGCCTCGTTTTCCGCCTAGTGAGCAGCTCTGACCCATCCAGGGTTTGTCATGTTCCTCCTCTGACTCTTCCCCGCCCTGAACTGGCTACTCTGGGGGACAGTGCCGGGAGCTGGAGCTGCCCTCACCCCCCACCCAGGGTGCTCTCACCTCCTCCTGACCTGTCCCTTCTGGAAGGGAAGCTGGGAGAGGCTTCCTGTCATCCCCTGAGTCCCCTTGACCCCCTCAAGGCCACTCCACAGTGAAAGCAGTGAGTGCTTTTCACCACAAATTCCTACCTGAGCCTGTGGCCATGGCCGCCCTGGGGGAGCCCCAAGCAGGGACTGGGGACCTGGGGTTTGCTCAGCTTTGCCACCGGCCTGCTGTTTGTCCCTGACTCCTTGGGCTGATGAAAAATTGCAGGTGGGCCTAGTGCAAATATGCGTGAGGAAAGGGCCCTGCACAGAGGGGTGGGGAGTGGGAGGGGGAGGGGAAGGGAGACCCTCAGGGAAGCTTTTGTTCAGAACACGTTCTGCCAGGCGCAGGGCAGGCTCTGGCCACAGAAGTTGCTAGGACTCCAGAGTGCAGGAGGGGTGGTGGGGTCACCAGGATGTAGGGACCTGGGTGCCACCCCGGGCTGCCCTCCTGGCTGAACCTCTCTGGGAAACAGGAGGACACACTGTGCGTCTGTCCACGGGCCAGGGAAGGGGCTGCAGTGAGACACCCGTGAGAAAGGGCTTTGGTGACCACACGCGTGTGGGAATGGTTATTGGGGGGAAGACCCCCAAAAGGCTCCCTGTGCTCTTTGTCAGCTGCCCTGAGCCCTCCTGGGGTGACCTTTGTCCCGCTGTAGAGACCTACCAGCACTGGGGGGAGGCCAGACAGGTGTCCCCAAGGACACCATTGCCGGTGTATCCATCGTGGGTCAGGCTGGTCTTGGGTTAGGATGGAGACTCCATTGTGGCTGCTGTCAGCGCCCCTGCCACCCATGGGAATCCCCCAGAGACCTGGGACGCCCTCGAGTGGGCCCAGTGCCCATTCCCTCTCCTCCCCTGAGCTCCAGTCCTGGGGTGTGTGTGCTTGGCCACCTGTGTGTCTTGTGCTGTGTCTGTCTCCCATCGCTTTGCCCCTTGTGAGGACCAGCGTGGGACCGCTCCCGGCACCCCCGACACGGCTCCAGGGCCCCTTTGGGAGCCGGGTCAGCCAGGGTTCCATCCCACGCAGTAAAGACCAGCCACACAGACCCCGCTACCGCTGCCACTAGTAGTGCTGTGCTCACACCTCGTCCGGGATGTTGAGGATGTCAAACTGCTGTAGATGACTCAATAAACGTCTTCTCGTTTTTCCTGGTGGCTCCAACTTGGCGGTTGTATTGCAAAGCCCTGAATAATGAATGTTTCTGCTGCAGGCCTGGGCAGAGCCAGGCCCTCCGGGGATGGGCGAGCCGCTCTGAAGACGGTGTGTCAATGGTAGCCAGCTGTTGCAGACACGGGCCCGAGGAGAGTGAGGGGAGGCAGATGATCTCTCTCTGGTCCAGACATTTCTCTCTAAAGAAGCCTCGCATCGGCTCATGTCTCATTGGCCAACAGGTGGTCACATGGCCACACACCCCTGCACCCCTATAACGCTGGAAGGGGAGAATGGGTTCTGGCCGGCAAGCAGTAGTTTGTGCCACAGCCTCAAACCCCCAAATCTTTAGGGGTGTAGGGGGTGGTCCCTAGGCCACTGGGAACAAACCAGGGGTGCAGTCTCCATCCTGGGTCATAGAGTCCGTCTGTGGGTCCTCAGAACTGAGGGAGCGGCTTTGCCCACCCACAGGAACCACTGTGGGGGAGATGTGAGGGCACGTTTGCATCCCCACTGGCTGCCTCCATCTCTGCTCTCTTGTGACTGCGTTTCCTGAGAGCCTTCTGCCCCCTCGTGGCTTCTACAAATTAATCTTGCTTTCACTTGGGAGGTTATTGAAGTAAAGATGTCGTTTTTTTTGTCCTGATTTTTTTTGTCCTTTAATTTCTGTCAGGTGCCTTCCAGTGAACTCAATTTCCATGCCTCTGAGCCTTCAGCTTGGTTAGCCTGCCCCCTGGTGGACGCCCACTGCAGCGTTCTTCTGGTCTGAG